TGTTCTCCACCGCTCCCCAGGCCCTGGATTCTCCAGACGGTCAGGGATACAGTCACGGAGTCTCCAAGAGGGTTTCCGGGGTCCTGCAGGAAGTCAGGCAGCATTCACAGCAAGAAGGACCCTATGGGCCAACGAGGCACTCATTGGTGCTTTTTGGAAGATCACATGAAGAGGGTCAAGATGGGGACAGTCTCAGAGCCCTAAGAAAGCAGGAAGGAGGCCATGGCGGGGAGGAGGACCCAGGGTCTGGGAGGAGTATGGGGTCAGGATGGCCAGGGTCTGGAAGGACTGTGATGGGCAGAAGGGCCCAAGATCTGGGAGGAGGAAGAGGGGCAGGAGGCCCTGCGGCCTCTGAGGAGAGTGGGGGCAAGAGGGTCTAGATTGTGATGGGGTTTAGGGTTATGTTAGTGTCTGTAACAAAGTGCTAGCCAGTGGGGTCCTTAAAACAACAGGCACCGACCCTCCTGCAGTCCTGGAGCCCAGGAGTCTGAGCTGCAGGTATCTCAAGGCCACTCCCTCCACAGGCTCCAGGGAAGAGTTCTTCCTGCCTCTACCAGCTCCAGGGCTTGTGGCCACATCACTCAAGTCTCTGCATCCATCTCCACATGGTTTCTCTCTGTGTTATACTGGAAGTGAGTGGAATAAAGAAACACCAGCACACTGAGTCCAAATTAAGCAGGGGTCCTTTATTGATTAGCTGGGCTGAGAGTGGGCTCATGCCTCAAAGTGTCTGGACCCCTGGAAGCAGGGGTGGAAGCCTTTGATAAGGTGCTTTTGGTAGGGGACGGGGAGTCCTTAATGCAAGCCAAATGTCACAAGAGCCAACACTTGGTAAGGGGAATGCTTGCAAGGGGGAGCTGGGGGTTCACAGGATTTTGCAGTTATTACTAAACTTTTCAGCTGAGCTTCCTGTTTCCAAAGGGGAGTGTTGAAAGCCCTTAGCAAAGTCTTTAGCAAGGTGGAGTTAGGGCATCACATCTGAGTCTACCTGCTCTCTCTTAAGAGGACACCTGTCATTGGATTTAGGACTCTCCCTGATCCAAGATGATCTCATCTTAAGATCCTTAAGTAATGACATCTGCAAAGACCCTGTTTCCCAGTAAGGTTGCCCTCTGAGGTCCTGGGTGGATATGCATGTCGGGCACCTACTCAACACAGCACAAGGTTCCACTCCTGGGCTGGATGCTGGGTATCAAGGCTCAAGTTCTGAGCAACTGAGAGGAGGAAGGAGGGGTGAGGTGGGAAGGGAAGTTGGAGCAAGTCCATTTGCCTGGTGAACTTCAAACAGGGACGCTGTGAGGTGCGGGTCTGGGGTTGGACAGAGGCTGGAGCTGCCGCTATAAACCTGGGAGTCATCAGCACATGGTGTGCAGTCATGAGACAGATGAGGTCATAGGTCCCGAGGCAGCTGGAGGAGCCAGAACAGAAGACAGAGACCCCAGGTCTGCCAAGATAAAGCCTGAGAGTGGGTGACTGCAGACAGAGGCAGAGGGGCGACCTGCAGGTAGGTGGGAGCAGAGTGGGGGGAGGTGGGTGGGAAAGGAGTGTGGGGGGGTCAGGGGAGCCTTATGGGGTCCCTACGGGTCACAGGGACATCAAGGCTAAACACCACCCTCAGGTTCAGCACCTGAGACCAAGGGGGCATGGGAAGCAAAATACCAATGTGGACTCACAGAAACTGCTGCCCCGACTTCCATCCCCGAGCTGGACATAGTGCCCACCCTTCTCTGTTCCCACTGGGCAAGCACCAGCTTTGGCTTTTGCAGGCCATCTGGGTTCTTTCCTCCTCACACCCTTCACAGCTGGCCTAGCAGTTCCCTTCCATGTGCAGCTTGCCTTGAGGACTTACAAACACGTCTTTGCAGCCTGCCTCTGCCTGTTGGCTGGAGGATGGACAGAGAAGGAAGGTGTCTCCGTGCAGCTGGGGACTTCTTATCCCTGAGTTGGGGCACTCTTGGCTGTCGAGTGATGGTCCAGGCCGGGGTTTGTGGCTCCAATAAACACACCCTTGGAGGGTGTACGAGAGTCGCCTGTGTGCTCTGCACACATATAACTAGGGGTTGTAAAGACTCCTGTGCACAGGTCAGCCCCCACCAGCCCCGGAGTAGCTACAGGGGTGGGCCGGTGGCCTCCAACCCCAGTGACCATGAGGTGGCTCCATCAGAGGGGCCTGACAGCTTTTCCCAATTGGAGGTCCCAAGAAAAACTCCCCTGCACTCTGGGGTGGCAGGTCCGGTTTGGCCAACAACAAACACACTGAAAAATTACACAGTCACAGCAGAAACTTCTGCAAGGCAAAGGTGTTCTAACCCAATTTGAATCACTGCTTCCAGGAAATGCCAGAGGCTTTTTCTAGACAGTGGACTCCAATACTCACTCAGGCACCCTGGGCTCTCCCACACTGACCTTTGGCTTTGCCTTATTTTCCTTTAAGTCCCACCCCTGACTGGGGTGCAGGCTTCCAGGTTAGGGTGAGGGTGCAGGTGTAAAGGGACCCAGGGGCACTGCCGCTATAACCTTGGGCTCTGAGGCTTCACCCTGTGAAGGGTGTGTGATGTAGGGACAGAGGAGGGAGAACTTGCAGTCATGCAGCATGGCACGGACACTGCCTCTGTGATGGGGACACTCCTTCTATGGCACGGACACTACCTCTGTGGTGGGGACACTCCTTCTATGGCATGGACACTGCCTCTGTGGTGGGGACACTCCCTCTATGGCAGGGGGACACTGCGTCTGTGGTTGAGATACTGCCTCTGTGGTGGAGACACTTCTATGGCACGGGGACACTGCCTCTGTGGTGGGGACACTCCTTCTATGGCATGGACACTGCCTCTGTGGTTGAGATACTGCCTCTGTGGTGGAGACACTGTCTGTAGTAGGGACATTGCCCCTGTAGTGGGCACACTGCCTCTATGGCAGAGGGATACTGTGTCTGTAGTGGGGACACTCCTTCTATGGCATGGACACAGCCTCTGTGGTGAAGACACTGCCTCTATGGCAGAGGGACACTGCCTCTGTGGTTGAGATACTGCCTCTGTGGTGGGGACACTGTCCGTGGTAGGGACATTGCCCCTGTGGTGAGATTACTGCCTCTATGGCAGGAGAGACTGTGGTGAGGATGCCACATTTGCGGCCGGGAAACAGCATCTGTGGCAGGGGGACACCTTCGTAGTGGGGGACTCCACCTCTGCAGGTGCTGGCTAGTCCAAGGAAGGGGCTTGGTCAGGGCAGTTTTCCTGCTCCATAGCAATGGTCTTGTTGAGGCCTCTCCGGGGGTCCTTGCCATGCAAAGGTCACCAGCTGTTGTCTGGAAGGAGTTGGGACCACTGAGGGTTGTCCCCGTGGGTGAGTCTACCTCCAAGGAACTGGCAGTCCACAGGGAGAGCCGGGTGGAGGCTGTACTCGGAGGCTTTGGGCCTGCAAGTGAGATGCCACTCCCGGGAAGGCTGTCTCCTTGCAGAGGACAGGTGGACGCACCCTGGGATGGCAGGTCCAGTGGCCCTTCCTGCGCGGGTTGGGGAGGGGGTGGGGGGAGCCGCGACGGGTGCAGAGTAAAACTGAGGGTCTTACAGCACTGAAGGGTAGAGGCAGGCTTAAGTGTTTGTTAAATCTGGGTGCCCTCTGAAGTGGGTGGCTCAGGTCTGTGGAGCAAGTGAATCCGGGAGCTCAACAACGGGAGTTCCCTGCGGGCTTCCTTGTGAGCCAAAGCCTCGTGCAGGCCCCCCGTGTGTCTGCCTGAATATACCCCTTGAGCCCAGTTCCCTGAGTACCTGCCCCGGGGAAGCCAGTGCACCGGGCCCTCTACATGACTGCCAGGAGAGCCCGGAGCGAGGAGCCCTCTCTGTACCTGCCCAGTAAACCCTATGCTCTGCCAGGTGCGCGCCCTGGAAGAGTCAGCACAGAGAGCTCCGCGACTAGTCCGCGGGCACCGCTAGAACCAGGTAAGCGCCCTGGAGGTGCTGAGGAGCCCCCCTCCCAAGCCGGCTCCCTGCCACTAACCGCGACAAGAAGTCACATGGGCAGTGCTGGCGCAGGCTCCAAGGGGCACGAGTGCGCGACCCCCACTCCCACCCTAACAGAGTGACAGGTGCCCCTGCAGCTGCCCTGAGGGCTCTGCCGATTGGGTCAGGACGACGCTCACCTAGGACACCAGGGGAGTGACAGGGAGGGACAAGCGCAGGAGGGAGGGACTGCGGCCCCCGGTGCAGCCTGGTACCTAGAGGAGGAGGCTGTGTGGGAACAGGAGCTCCATGGGAAAGTGTCCTGAGTGCCTTGTGAAGCCACCCTCTGGCGTGACAGTGACCCGCTTCTAGGTGATTAAATTCCCAGGTATCCCAAATAGCAGGAAGGGCTTTCTAAAAGGAACCTGACAGATGGAAGGATTTTACAAAGCGAATCCTGCTGCGAGGAAAGGTTTTGCAGAATGAGCCCAACTGAAAGGGACCTTTTGTGCATCTAATCCTTTTAAAGGAGTTGGCCCAACTGGGAGGCAAGGCGTGCACTTGGCAGCCCTCTGGGCAATCCCTGCCCCTTGGACCAATGCCTGTGCTATCTGGGCAAGCGCTTGGATTCTCTAGGCCTCAGACTTCCCACGTTTAGTTTGGGTGATGACAGTGTGGGCCTGGTAAGTGAACGCACAGTGTCCTAAGAGCAGGGGCAGGCTCCTCTGAGAGACGGTCTTGGGAGATTTTGCAGAGTGCTGTCTTTTCCAGCAATCTGCCCCCCAGCGTTTTCTGTGGGTCTCTGTGTGTTGGGTTCAGGGGGCATAGGCCCCCGATAACAGACCTTGGTCTGGGCGGGCCCTCTGCTTTGTTTTCTGGGTCTCAGAGCGGGCGGCCCTCAGAGGGCAGAGAGCTGTCATCACAGCATGTGGGCCATGTCTTCATACACCTGGAAAGGTCATGGTCTCAGACTGCCCAGCACCCCTACCCTGGTGTCCAGGAGGAGCAGGAGCTGAAGGCTGGGCTGGTATTCACTGACCTTGTCCCCCTGCTCAGGCCATGGCGTCCCCCAAGATCGAGGCTGTCATCAGACAGCGGCACCAGATGGCTGAGTGTCCAGTGTGGGAAGAGGAGACAGGGCAGCTGGTGTACGTGGACATCAATGGCAGGAGTGTGTGCCGCTGGAGCCCTTTCACAGGGGAGGTGCAGACCGTGGGCCTGAGTGAGTGGAGGGGATGCACCCATGCAGGGCCTGGACTGGACCCCTGTCAGGGGGTGAGTTGAGCGGGTCCATCCCATGAAGCCTCTAGTTCCCTTACCCTGATAGCCTTGGCTCCTGAGACCCAGGGGTTGGGCTAACCCTAACCCTAAGGCCTTGGGGGTCAGGGTAACCCTACGCCTAACCTGAAACCCTGGGATCGACTTGCCCTTGCTCAATGGGCTGAGCACCATCCACCAGTGAGGAGGGCTGCACGCCCTGCCCAGGAGGCAGAAACCACTGTCCTCACAGACAAGGAGGCAAATACATGAGGTCGGTCTCCTGCGGGCCCACGGTGGGTGCTGTGTGTGTAGGGGGTGCAGTGAAGTGTTTTCAAGAAGAACCTGGGTGGCCCAAAGATGCCAGCCCAGATGATTCCTGGGACCAGCCAGCCCCACCACCCTGGAAAGAGGGGACGGATCTGTTCCTCTATCAGCATGTCCTGATGGGTGCGGGCAGTGGGGGCCAGCACTGGCCATGTGGAGATGTAGCAGCCGGGTCACTCCTTGCCCACCAACTTCCCTCAGGAAACCGTGTTGGCTGTGTGGGCCTGTGCCAGAAGGGGACCTACGTGGTGGCTGCCGGCACCTGCCTTGGCCTCCTGGACTGGGGAACACAGCAGGTACAGTGGATGGCCTGGCTGGACAGGGACAAGCCCCACAACAGGTTCAACGATGGAAAGGTGGACCCTGCTGGGAGGTTTGTGGCAGGTGAGCTTCCAAAAGGTGAGGGTATGGCCTCAGCCCACCGAGGGTCAGTGGAGAGAGGAAGAGGTCAGCCGCTCAGCCCATGGAGCAAAGGCATGCCAGCCTCAGGGCCTGGGCAATTCTCCACTCACAGCAGGTGCTGGGGGCTGTAAGGAGCTGTCCCCATGTCCCCTGAAGAAGGAGCACAGGGTGCAGTCCATGCCCTGCACTGCCATGGCTTCACTGGGCTACCATTCTGAAAGGTTTCCTTTGATGCCAGTCCTGGTCTTTTCCCGATTTATACCTCTTTGGCTCCTGACTGCCCACACAGACATGGCCCCCACCTTCCTTGGAGAGGTGGAATCCATGAGCATGCAGCTGTGGCCATATGCAGCTTCCTGAAGGCATCCACTTTGGGAGAGCATCACACTTGCCCTGGGTGTTCTGGGTGGGTGTCAAAACCTACAGGCAGCAGCTGCCTGGGAACCCAGCACCCTGCGGTGCTCAGGGCCTGTGGCCAGCTCACAGGAGGGGCCATCAGCACTGTCTGCAGAAGAGTCAAGAAAGGCCTGAGAG